GGATTGTTCTCATGCATCTGACCCTATACCAGCATCAACTTCAAAATGGATAGGATCAATTCAGAAGCCATCTACAGAAATATGTGGGGGTTGCTCAGGTGAAATGATTGAGCATGTATCCTATGCAGAGGTTCCAAAGATTATCATCCTGGAGTACCCATACTGTAATACTGAAACTAGTCACAAGGTGAAGTTTGTAGTAAATGGAGAAGAAGTTTTACTGAGCCTGAGAGGGATCATATACCATGGGGATAATCATTTCACCTCTAGAGTTTTTTCATATGAAGGTAAAGTTTGGTTCCATAATGGGATAACCACCAAAAATAAGTGTATAGAAGATGGGCAGCTAGATGATAAAAGCAATAATGATCTTAGATACTATCAAGATCAGGAACTTGTTTTGGCTGTATATTCTCAACTTTAAATTAGAACTTTGTCTTGATAAATTTAACATTAAAATAGAATTCTAGATTAATATCTTTATAACATTGAATGCAAGCCACATTGATTTGAAGCAAATGATTATAAAGAATTGTAAATAAATGTCAAATGATTTTGCAATTTTTTAGACATTGTTACTGTAACATTATTCACAATCTCTTGGTTTACATTAATGTGGCTTGCATCCATTGTTGATGAAAATGTTAAAATATGCCTTTTAAAAAAAAAACTTACTCTACATATTTTTCAGCATTGGAGGTCCATGGGAAGGACTCATACATGCCATGCGTAGCACTGGCCCACACCCACAAGTCAGATTCTGCTTACATCATCTATTTTGTACATTACACCTCATATAGTCCATGAGGGAATCTATCTCTTTGACCACTATTGCTCATGTTGCTCAACTTAAAGCCCTACTAACAGCTCTAACTTGAATACTAGGCAATACATGTGGAGGCACCTTCACGACTTGCATAATCATAGCACTCTCCAATGGTACTGTCCATGAAGATCGGAGCATGGGTACTATGAACTGTCACATTCCATGGCTCCTAGCTATTGATCGATTGGCTAGAACGACCTACTCCTAGAGTTACAACAACTTTGGTTGCATTGTCCATTAGACATTCCAACAGCTGTTCCACTACCCTAGGGACACTTACGTTCAGTGGTGTACAACCATATGGCTTGCACATCAGCCAATATTTATCTCTGGTAATTTGCATGAATAATAGACAACAGTAATGATTCAGTAACTAGGGCCAGTCTATTATAGGCAATCACCAATATAAACTCAATATAAGAGCAGTCAGTAAAAACCTTTATTATCTGATGAGGCATAATTTAGAGGCTATAACTATATAACAAATAGCTGAATACCAATAGATACAGTTGCATGCAATATATAATCTGCTGTTTCTATAATAAAAATAAATATAAAAGTTAAAGGGCAAGTTTAGGACCAAAATTATCTTTATAATAAATTTTGTAGAAAAGTTGAATCCAGAAGATAAAAGTTTGAATGGTCAGAAATTTTTGATGTTTTTTTTTGAAACTAGGACCCCAGATACTCCGTGACACTGGCAGGAAATTTTTTGACTGTGTGACATGGCTAAAACATTTCTGAGCAGTGTGACATGGTCAAAACATTTTTCAGCAGTGTGACATGGCTCAAACATTTCTTAGCAGTGTGACATGACCAAAACATTTTTCAGCAGTGTGACATAGCTAAAACATTTCCGACCAGGCTGAAACACTTCAAATATTTCCGACCACTCTAACATGCTTCAAACATTTCCGACCAGTCTGAAACACTTCAAATATTTCCTACCACTCAAACATGCTTCAAACATTTCCGACCACTTTCAGATGGCTAGGATATTTTTCAATGCAATATATCAACCCAAATATTTCTGGTCACAATATTGAAGGTCAAACATTTTTGCCCAATGCAATAATATATTTTCCTCCAGAGGCAAAAAAATAAATGGCCAAGGAACCTATTAGCCTGGATATATACCTATATGTTTCAAGGCTAATAGCTTGTTCAAGGTGGGTGACTGAAGTGGGGTGCCAATGACCTCATGACAACGGCAACCCCATGCAACAACACCACACCCCACCAATGCCAACAACAGCCCACAACCACCACCGAGCCCAACAACAGGATGGCAATGGTGACCCAGCACCACCCATAACACAATGATGTGTCAACAACACATGACAACAATGACATATGAGGATGACGACACACGACAACAATGACAATAACAACGACCACAATATGCAACAATGACAACACATAACAACAACAACATGTGACAATGAATGGCTGCCCTGGAACGACAACACAACACCCACACGAGACACAATGAAGGCCAAGCACCACTCCTTTCCCCTCCATTCCTCTCTCTCCCCCCTCTCCCTCCCTTCCACTCTCCCTCCATTCCACTCTCCCTTCTCCCTTTCCCTCCCCCCTCCCTTCCTGATCACCACTCCCCCCCCACTCCTTCCCCCCTTTCTGTAACATAGTAAAATCAACTTATTTAGTTATATTTTGTTACTAATATACTTCAATTTTCTTTGTCTCATGAAATCTAAGTACCTTAATTATCAGCTTAAGGTCTGGCAGTCCACTCTAGTCCAGTTCTGCGGCAGTCCAGTACAGTCCAGTCTGTCCAGTATCCATCTGAAAGTCTGATGAAGTCCAGATAGAGTATATGCAGACTCCAGATAGACTCTGCCTGGATGATCCAGGAATATAGACATTTGGTTGTATTATAGTTGGACTCCATTTGGACTCTGGAAATCCAGCTGGAGTCTGCCAGAGTCCAACTGGACTATGTGGAGGAGTGTAAAGTACACCAAGGTCCATGCTAAACGGATGTCCAAATGTCGTCCTCATTCCATCTAGAATGTGCTCAGGTGTGGTGTCATTACTGTATGTTCTATCTACACCTTCATGACTCATATTCAAAGTTTTTGGCCACATAGTCCTTTCACCACCATCACCTACTCCAACTACGATGCAATGTGCATCTTCAAGCTACAAGTCAGTGCTTCACCTGCATACACATTGTCAACAACATCAATACTGATGCCATTCAATGACATCATGCCAGACAGACCAGTGGGGGTGGTGAAGATGATTCAGTGAGAGATGGTGAGCATGGGTGGTGACATGGATTTCAAGAAGGATGATGATTGGCTTGTGAAGGATAGGTGGCACATCAAAACAGCTGTTTGGACATCAGGTAAGTCATCCTGCTCACATAACTTTCCAAACAACTCACACCAAACCCCCCTAGACCACAAGAACCAACTTCTATGCCAACAAATCAATGTTCACAGGAGAGGGATAGCCTACGTTCATGAGTAGGGCATCCAAAATGACACTACTTCATGGTTTGGATGGTAAGAACATGGCATTGCCATTGGACACTATCTATTTCTACCTAGTTATGATACTTCTTACATCTACTTACCAAGTCTGTAGTACTAAAAATGCGAAGCGCGTTGGGACACAACACGAAGTTTATATTTGTTTAAAACCAAAATATGTTTGTTTGTATGATTAGACCTCCAGATCCAAACAAATGTACTTTGAGACAAATGGCTCAACCTATTCACCTTAGAACCGAATGACTCACCCCTGTCTGCCTTCCTTGATTGCAACATGAGTCAGAAAGACACATATACACAGTCACATCACAACACAGACCGGAAACCAGAAGATGTGCAGGAAATGAGTTCAAGCGTCGAGATGCATAAGTTTGAGTCACTGGATCAAGAACCACCAGAAAGGAAAGGAAGTCTGAGGAAGGTTCCAGCGGTCATAGAAACAAGTATATAAGACATAGAACTATGAGATGTACAGTTTCAACTTTTCCAATCTATTGATTTAACCCCACATACTCGTGTGTGTCTTAAAACCTTAAGAAATATTTGTACAGGTTGTATAAATAGTTCTTACACTTATCACTAATCAAATAGGCTATTCTATTAAGTGGTAAATATTCAAATGTCTTCAGGAGTCCTGAACGATAGTTGAATAAGGATTATTCGTGCACAGGATTGCAAAGTTACCTATCAATTTAAGAACTCTTTCTCTTTGTTAATTCAAATGCTACACAATTCATATGTGAACTTTAACAGGCAGCAGGACAGCACATTGCTTGCAATGATGCTGCAGGGCCTTGACTTGCTGGTAAATCAGTGTGGTCATTGTTCATGAGGGCTTGACCTACTTTCATGCCTAGAACTTCCCCAACATTCAGGTTCATGGTTCCATCAATGCTGCAACATCACCCATGGCCTTGAGTGATGCGAGAGGGTTTCAAGTGGTATGGTGGGGGGGGGGACTGTCAACCAAGAGCGGCACATCAACAATAGCTGTGCATACAATGGTAAATCATCTACAACTTCATAGATATTGTTGCTGCTCATGTAGCTTTCCACAGAACTCACAACAAATCCCCTAGACCGCAAAAAATGACTTTCACATGACAAAGCAATGTTGATGGGAGAGGGATGACTAATGTTCACATAGGGCAGCCAAAACGACACTACTTTGTGATTTGGACAATGTACAGGATGGTAAGGGAGTAGGAGAATGTGGGCATGGGGCATGACAATGTGTTTGAAGCAGTTGGGCTGCAGTTCTGCTTTCACATTCTGTAAGTGGTTTTCAGCAGCATTCTACTAAGTTACTTACAGTAATTGTTAATCTACTTCTATCCATGTGTCTTAAATACATCTTTAATAATTATTGATACTACTATGTTTGTCTATTGAGTAGACTCCAGGGTCTGCTTCAGGGCTCTCTAAGGACACCCCAGGCCACCCTAGGACAACCTCAGTGCACTTCAGGACAGCCTCAGCGCATCTCAGGACAACCTCAGATTGCCCCTGGGAAATCAAAAAAAAGGAACCTGTACCTGGGGGCAACCTGATGCCCTGAGTTCTTTGACAACCTCTGGGTATCCAGGGTCTACCCTGGATACCCTCAGGGAAGAAGTGATTTTCCTGATGTTGGCAGCATGTTACTCATTTGAATTTTCTCTTGCAATTCTCTAGTTTATAATTTTTATGGTAGCCTTATGCCTTTCAGAACTGCTTGACAATTTTTTTGGAAGGATAAGAGTAAGTACAAGAGCTTAATTTCTGTTTGAAGTCAGAAGTGTGCACTGATGTGGGAACATGGGATGATGACAGGATGCATCTACCTCATTTGAATTTCTGCTATACCTGGTGGACCACTCATACATCCAGACTCTGGCCTTTCCTATCTGCTGTTCAACCTTTATGAGCAATTGGTAATTGGTAATAATTTTTGGCTGACTGCATTACATATGGACTACTGTACTACCTCACCAACTCATGAAGAATATAGACATTGGTACAAGGTGTTACAAGAGGGACATTAGCCAGACTACCACTCCCTATTTGCAAAAAGCTACCACTGGTGGCATAACATTAGGTTGAAAGGAAATGGTTTGCAGAATAAGGAAAAGGAAAAGGAAAAGGGGGGGGATTAAGCCAAGAGAAAAAAAACCACCCTATGAAGCATCATGAAGCCAAATGTTGATTAAAACTCTTCAAGACCATCCATGTATGACAATGGGGGGATATTTGAATGTCATCAACATAATGAGAAGGCAGCGTGATGATGGATGGATGGAAAAAAAAACTTGGCATGTGTACAAAATCACACCTTTCCATCTAACTCTCAGGATGTTCATCAGGATTATGTGTTGTTAGCAAGTTACTACAGAAACCCACAGAACACCTGCTTCACTCTGGGCCATTGAGGACTATTTTGCAAAAACAGCTGTCTAAGGCTCCACCTCAATGGTAGTGTCAATTTTCACTGCCATACATAGAATGTGTGAGACATGCTGTAATTTTTTGGATAAGGATGCAAGTGCAGTGTGCAAGCAGTGTAATTCAATGATGACAGGAAATTAATGAACATCTTATATCTTGCCTATATCACTCATTTTCTAGTGCTTTATGGCCTCTATTGGTACTGTATTCCTCCCAGTACATTCTGTAGCTATATTATGCTACAAGCTACTCAATTTAATGACCCAAGGCCCTCTGCCTGAGGTGCCTTTTTTTTTGCAGTCTGCAGACTGACTAACCACATACCAGTACAGGATTCCCAGGCGGGCACCCCCTTGCTATGGGATGTGTATCCACCTGCATCACCACCACCACCACCACCACCACCACCACCACCACCATTTTCATCCCCCAAATCTAAATTATTCTTTGTGCCATTCACACACTCTGCAAATACTGTTCCAAATTGCAGACCCCAAGCTGCAAGGCCCTCAAATTTGACTGTTGTTGGATGCCTTCATCCTCATAAATGTCTCAGATCTAAGACATTCTTCTTCAACCTGAAGAGCATCAATAGCAACTGCCCTTCTCATTACAAGGTCCTTCAATGACCAGACCTCACCCCCATTGATGACATCATCACCTCCATCATCATTGTGTGATGACTTAAGAGGATGATCAGCAGGCATATTCAAGAAGAGGTTGGATAAGCTCTGGAAGTCCAGGGCAGCAACCTCTTCTACTTTCTGGGAAAGTTGGATATCAGATGCTAGGCAAGTGTACATAGTTTCTAAACTGAGGTAACATTTATCCCAGTCCTAGTCCAGTCCGGTAGGATTCTGGGAGTCCAGTAGGAGTCCGGTAGGAATAGGTGGAGGAGTGTAAAGAGCTCAGCAAGTGTACATAGTTTCTAAACTGAGGTAACACTTCACTGGGCAGTAGAAGAGGCATTGTTGAAGTTTGCAAATAGTATTTGAAGCAAGATTAGTCTTGATTATGAATGTTGTTTGTAAAACAACTGGTAACTCTGTGGTGATGCATGTGACTCTTATTCAAGTGTGTTCAGGACTCCTGAATATGTTTGAATGTATATCACTAATAGAATAACATATTCAATTAGCAATATGAAAGATTATTTATACAATTAATTAATTAATACAAAAAAAAAAAACCATTTGAAACCCCTCCCCCCTCCATAAAACCTAAGGGATACTAAATTAGTTGCATAGAAACCTGGGTTACAGTGAGGAGTGGCTGATAGCTGATGATCAACATATTTGAGGTCCCACCTCTCTTGCTGCTGCAATGGTGAGGTTTACCTTCATCCCATCCTACATTGTGCTAGAGCTTGGAACACTGAAGGTTCATATGATTTTGACCAGTAATCTAACACATTGAATGCATTATGACTCAGAGGTGATTCTGATTATATAAACTTGGAAATGTTATGGGGGATGGATTAATGGGCAGGTGGAATATAGGGTTTGAAAATTGTTCTTGTGCAGATGCACAGTGGGTATTGTAACAGGGTATGATGGGAACCCAAGCACTCAAGCTTGAACATTGCTGAGGGCATCAAAATAGAAGTAACTGGTTAAATTCAAGAATGTCATAAAGAAGCATACACTCAGAAGACTCATTATATGTCATATAATAAATAAAGAAGGTATATATATGAGTGGGAAATAAAATAGGTTGATAAATGAAATAACACAAAAAATGTGAAGTTCAGTTTGATCTGACAGTGGAATCAACAGGTCCAATTCCTTCTTAAATGGGATCACATAATGAAGAAAAACACTGGCTCCAGTATATGCCATGAACAAAGTTCTTAAACTGAAGTGAGGTTGGAATGGCACCAATCACAGCAGTTGTCCTTGGCCAGAACAAACCAGATTTATTTTGGTCTGGCAGCCAGACAAGATGTGCATTATCTGGGAGCATGATCCAATTTCGATCATAATGGCAGAATTTTAACAGTATATCATAGGAGTCACAAGCATCCCACACTCTGACTGTTGGGTCATCAGATCCAGAGACAATGTGCCTGCCATCAGGAGAAAATGCAACTGAATTAACACAAGAATCAAGGACTTTAAGAGGATCCATGACACTCTGACCTGTTTGAGCATCCCACACTCTGACTGTCTTGTCACGAGATCCAGAGACAATGTGCCTGCCATCAAGAGAAAATGCAACTGAAGTAACATAATCATCATGGCCTTTGAGAGGATCCATGACACTCTGACCTGTTTGAGCATCCCACACTCTGACTGTCTTGTCACAAGATCCAGAGACAATGTGCCTGCCATCAGGAGAAAATGCAACTGAAGTAACATAATTATCATGGCCTTTGAGAGGATCCATGACACTCTGACCTGTTTGAGCATCCCACACTCTGACTGTCTTGTCACAAGATCCAGAGACAATGTGCCTGCCATCAGGAGAAAATGCAACTGAAGTAACATAATCATCATGGCCGACAAGTTTGAGGAAACATTTCTCTGACCAATGTTCCCTTTGACCAATCTGCACAGTCAATGTCTTCTGAAATAACTTCAGAAAATGCAAAGAGATCTTTGAACTTTGTGGAGCAAATGGCAGTGCTGACAAATAAATATGTGGTGCTGCATCAGATATTGGTGCCAAAAATTCCATGACAAATCTATTTGCATCTTTTGCAAAGTCTGATAAGCTAGGTTTTGAAACCTACATTATTTTCATATCAGTATCATAGTAAATTATACATATCTTTACTCACCTTGCTCCAATTTGCAGTTGACAATAATAGTTGAGCAGCATGGTTTACAGTTCCCATCAAGCTCATAATTTCTAGCCAGTGTAAAAGATGGACCATCAAAAATGTCTCCAATGCTTCCTGAACTTTCAGCTGTAGTGTTTTATCACAATCCTCCTGCAGATAGCTGGCCCAGAAGTAGCTTGCATGATCTAAGGCTGTAGATTTGACACTCTCAAGGTGGTCATTGAGCTCTGGTATGTTTTTGTTCAAAATATAGGATGTTTTTAGATCAAAGAAGTTAAACCTTAGTTTTGCATTCAGAAGTTTCAAACAAGACCCAGCAAAGCAGAGACTATAGAATCGAGGATCAAGCCACAAGTCTTGAGAGTGCTCAAAATCAAGAAGAAAATCTGCCACTGACTGGTGGCAAATACGCAAATAACCTGCATCACTGATGGATAAAATTGGGCTGAGTTTACCCAGCATTGAATTTAGTAACACATCTTTTACTTCCAGAAGCTCAGTTAGATCTTTGATACGAAGTGGATTCTTTGCAATGATTATTGAACCCAGAACCAACTTTAAACTTGTTTTCTCTGGTTTTCTGAGACCTTGCAAAGCAACAGAAATAATCTGATGATACAGTATGTCAACAACATCAATTCCTTCTCCAGAATGAGCAGAAATGATATTTAGCCTCTCTTCAGCATCACCTCCATCAAACAAGATAAAATCCATTGCAGATTTAGCCCAGACAAATAGTCCAGCAGCTTTTCTCACAAGAAATGATATTTTGTCTGGACCAGGCCACTTTGGAGGCAACCAATTTGCCTCAGAAAACCTTGCAACAAAGTATTTTTCAAGGTCATCATAAGTCTGAGCAGAGACCTCATGTCCAGTGTTCAGATTATGATAAACACTGACAGATCTTAGTCTACTCTGAATCTTAAGATAATGGCGGCTTGTAATGAGAAGTTTCAAAGATTTAGAGAGGTGAGACCAGGATACCAATGAAGGCAACAGTTTGTCATATGAATCACATTCATCAAGAGCATCAACAACAACAAGAAGAGGCTTCACAGAGGTCCCAAAAATTTCCTGTAAAGGCTTGGAAATAAGATGCTCAAATTGCATAGAAATATCAAGGCCTCTGATGTCAGCTTTCTGAGTCTCCAATGCCTGACTGATAGACTTTCCAAAATCACTAGATCCTGAAGAAAAGTCCAAAGCAATACGTCTCCATAAGTTGTCTGGATCCCGAAGCTCAGCCTCATCACGACGGAAAAAGAATTTCCCAGAGAGACAGTCAAAATCAGCAACCACAGTTGAAGCAATTGTTGTCTTTCCAGAGCCAGGACTCCCAGAAAGCCAGAAAATATTAGGCTCATTCGGATCATTGAGCCATGTGTTAATAAGAGTGAGCACATCCTTCCGGGTCCCAGGCATACACCTGTCTCTTACTTTGCCATGTGATGGAGCCTTGAGCTCTTGCAGCCATTTTTGTACCTAGATTGTTTATTAATGATATAAGCTAGTAATAGATTTTACCTATTTTATAACTTACATTTGCTGCCTCAAGGCCTCTGTTGTCATTGATATTGATCTATAGTATACCAATGGTCTTAAGGAAGGAGCATTTGAAACAAGCTGATTACATACAATATTTGCAGAATTGAAGACACCATCATTGATTTGGAAATCATGTGCATGAGCAAACATATTTCTCTGAGATACTTCAGAAGGAAAAATTTATAAAGAAATAGTATCAGAAAGCAAGTTTGTACATACCATTTTCTGTAGTTGTGGGCCTTTCACCAACATGTCTTTTCTCAATAGACATATTGGGCCCAGTCATTATGGGACCTTCCCAAATATCCCTCTTGACATCTGTACAAATTAAGAAATAACACCAAGTTAAATATTTATAATTTGACTCACTTGATTCTTCCTCAACACTGAGACAGACCTGAAAGTTGGGCTTAATAATCAATGAATGAGATGATAAAGAAAGGTGAATATGTATGATATACACTCACAAGTGCATTTAGTTTGACCTGGAAATCTGCAATATATTCTTGATCCTTTCTAAAATTGGCCAATCCCTTGTATGGATTCTGTTGTTGGATCTTGATCGCATCTCCTTTCAAATGGTCCAAAATGCTAGTGGGTGACTTCAATCAAGGCAGTATCCACAATAAAACCAGTAAAACCACACACCCTCTCAAATTATCGAAATTGGGTTTTTGCAACATCAACAGGATTTGACTCTTGTTGTATTGATAGGTAGCCTGAACAATTCCTGCCATCTTCTCAATGAGACTTGCAGAAAAAGTGGCCCAATCTTTCTTATTGATCTTGAATTCCTAATGCCATCACATAGATAGACATGATGGAATAATTGGAGTAAGGACACACACCTTAACGATCCCAATGATAGCTAATGCTTCGACGACCGCCGCTTTCAGAGGTGGATAGGTGTCGCCAGACGCAGCGACGACCTGCAGTGCAGAAAGACCGCCGCCGCTGATCACTTGCAGAACGTCATTTCCCGCGGGATTTAACCCAGTAGTATTCATATTGTTGGTGTCGTTGGTGTCGTTGGTACCGATAGTCGCGTTTGCGTTCATGATGATGGTGGTTGATAACAAGAATGTTAGAGCGTCAATCAAATGTCAATTCCCTTGAGGGTGTAGTAGTCATGTGACCACAAAATATTGTAACATTTTCTGTGAGTACCAAGAACTGCGACAGAATTATGGGTCTAGCTAGGTCCCCTTCCTACGATTTCTTAACCATTCCTACTATTGAAGGGCAGTTTCTGTCCCAAAATACGGATCTGCACAATGCAATCCTCCTGCTAACGCGACCACAGGATTGCTGTTATCCAAACTCACACGTCAACTCGAACTAACAATCCCTTTCCGTTGTCCCATTATCCCTACCCACAGGAACTCGAGACTACTGATCTCGGTAGCCGACCACGGCCTTCCACAGCACTAGACGTATGGCCTATGGTGAAGCCAAACCACGCTGCGACACGTCGTTACTGAGAAGCCACAGTGCTCCACAACGCAGACGAAACGCAGCTGCAGCCGTCTCGTCTGATTCAAACCCATGCAGCGATCCCTGCCCCATGACGACGTCGAACACCCGCCGGAAGTTGATCTACTTGATCGCATGTCACCCGTACGCTCGTCCTCCATCCCTTCTCCCCGATGCCAAGTGTGCGACATTTCACCGTTCCACCGCCGACCCAAGCATCGTCAATCCGAGGCGTTACACGTAACCTCGCAGGCCGTCTGTTCATCAGAAGCGCACTGCAGGTTTGAGGAATTGTAGCTCTAGATCGGACTAGTGAGAGAAAAAAAAGGAGCAGAGCAGATGAAACATTCTCACTTACCAAACCAAATCAATTGGACTAACACAGCCTGGCCCCATATACGTGGCGTGCTAACGAGCGGAATGGAAGACGGAGATGCCCAGTCCCCGAACAACCCGCGGTATTCGAGATCATAGCCCCGCCGAACGGTATTATCGAGCCAACTTGACTTCTGCTGACCGGAGGGCACGTCAGCCACAGCTGAAACTTGAACATTGAACAAACCTACATCCTCCAAGTATCCGACGATCACTCCTTGACCACGGTCATCTGCCACATCAGTGCACAAGGTTGTGAGGCTTGCCGGGTGATGATCTTTAAATGGTGTCTCCTTTTCTTAATCTCGCTACCCGAAAAGCTTTAACTGTGAGGAGGGTTAGATGAAAGCGACGAAAAGCAGAGAGGATCCTTACCTGCGTTTGAGTTACGGTAAAGAACCATTGAGGAGAAATGGACGCCCGCGAGCGGCTTGCGATAGACACAGTCCTTGATAATGTGTGATTGAGTGGAAGACGGATCTGAAAGAGAAAATATTCCTCACCGTTGTTCATCGGTCCATCAAAATCATCCACACATCTGAAATACGTGCACCCGATAGCGTCCTGTAGGTTGCTGCTGGAAATCGCGGCCATTGCCTTCATTGCACAACGATGAGGATGCGGCAAATGGGGAGGAAGAGTGTTGGGAGGCGTGTGGCAGATGAACCGACATCGGAAACCCCAGGATCGCGGGCGTTAGAAGCAGTCAGAAGTCTACGCGAAGATATTGTTCAAAAAGAGATGGGGACGTCGAAGTAGTCACGTCAGGTTGATTCTGGACTGATGAAATGAGATGAGAATGTTAGCGATGAGCAGGTTAATGAGTACTGAGTATGTACGTAACCCATGATATCGAGGAGGTGGCTTGACAACGCCTTATCCTCCCAAAAACGGGGCGAAGGGCCAGACGATGGGTCCTCACGCGGATGTAGAACAGAGGACGTGTCCTGGCTAGGAGAATGATGATGGTTGTGACGAAGGAAGTCGTGATTGATATTGGTGACTTTGCCTTGACTTTGCTTGCTCATCACGCCTGTCGGCCAGCACACGCCTCAGCGTCATGACGGAAAAAAATCAAAATCCTCTCTGAGGACGTGGTATTTCGAGCACCGAGTAGACTGTATTCTGATATGAATTTCTTCTGCACACACAAGAGCTGCCGTATAGGTGGGCTAGATACTTTGGTGCGCTTCCGATTCTATCCTTTGTGATTCTTCTTCTGCTCATCGAATGCGGCTATAAACTACGACAGGTTTTCACTACATACGAGCCTTCCTGAAAGTCTTAATGGATGGAAGATGCATCGATGCCTGCTTGCCCTCTGCCGATTTTTAGTAGGCTTCCAGTCCCCCTTCAATCTGAGGGTTCGAACGAACGGTATATTCTGTCACCCGGGTTATTTTGGAGTTTTTCAATCGCCAGCTGATTCCGCACAATCGCTACTGTATTGGATGGTTGGGTCCGCTGCCAGGTTGCTGTTGGGATGTGATCATCTCATGCCAGCATAACCGACCCGGAGACGCTCTTATTATTAGTTTGAGCGGCTCTTCTTGGGCCCCCTTCGAGCAATAACACCCGCATTTAATCCGAATACTTACCAATACCAGAAGTGGCTTAGCAGGCCAGTGATGTGATAAATAGGACAGTTCGAGAAGAGTTGTGTGCCAAACACCGCCCGTTCCAACGTTAGCCTTCTACTTCTACCCATCTGAATCACTAGCACCCATGGCCGAACCAGAACCTGCACAACCACCACCAGAACAAATAGGCGTCGTCTACACTCCCTCCACCGATCCCCAACTTAAACCATCTACACCGTTTGGCAAAAAGGGCATCAAGGAATACATAGAGAACCTGCCCTATGACTTCAACTTTGTCCGCATTCAATGGGTCGACCTTATCAACAACATCAGATATCGCGTCGTCACTAAGGCTTACTTTGCAAAACTCCTTCATTCATCCGGGCGCACGGGCGTGTCGATCACCAAATGCGCGTTAGGGCTCGTCTTTTTGTCGGTGGCTGATGGATTTAGGTAAGTGTTTCCCGTCTCCTCTTTCTATCTTGGAACTCGTAGTCTCACGTCCTTGCCGTTGGAAAGCCCTATAGGAGAATACCTCTACGTCCTTGACCTCTCCTCATTCCGAGTGTGCGGGTACCAGCCTCGCCATGCAGTGGTTATGGGTTGGTTTCAGGAGAAAACGCCGCTTCCAGGACGGAATGGACGACTAACATACGAGGTCGATCTTTGTCCACGTACTATCCTTCGTCGAGTCGTCGAGTGTGTACCTTCCTCTTCCCCACCCTTTCTTCTTCTTCAAACTAAAAGCTGTCCCATCTAGAAAAGCCAAATACGAACTAAACCTCTCCTTCCTCATCGGCGTCGAATCCGAATTCATCCTTTTAAAACAAACGAACCCCATCGAAGCAGTGAACAACCACGGATGGTCCAACTCCGCCGCCTTACCCTCCGGCTCCGTCGAAGCCAAGGTCTTGGAGGATATCGTGGATGCCTTGAATATCGCTGGGATAGAGCTGCAGATGTATCATGCAGAAGCTGCCCCGGGACAATATGAAGTTGTTACGGGGCCGCTGGGACCACTTCAGGCGGCGGACGCGCTTGTGCATACGAGGGAGACGATTTACAACGTTGCTAGTAAACATGGGTTGAGGGCTACATTCGCTCCGAGGGTTTATATGGATAGCTGTACGTTTCCCTCCTCTCTACCTTTCCGTTATCTGACTAAACCACAAACACAGGCGGAAGCGCAGCGCACACGCATATATCCATTCACTCCTCCACCCCACCCTCCCCTTCCATTTCCTCACCAAACTTAACATCCCTCGAAGCCTCCTTCCTAGCTGGGCTCCTCGCCCACCTTCCCTCCCTAACAATCCTCACACTCCCCCTCAGCGCCTCCTACAAACGCATGGTCGACGGTGCCTGGTCAGGGGGCACCTACGTCTGCTGGGGGACCGATAACCGCGAAGCTCCAATAAGGCTATGTAACGCCACCTCTCCCGCTTCCCGGAACTTTGAAGTGAAATGCGTAGATGGGACATCGAATCCGTATTTGGCGTTTGCGGGGCTTATAGCGGCTGGCGTGGAGGATGGTGTGAAGATCAATAGGGCACTTGAGATGAGGGATTGTAGTGCCCATGGAGAACTTGGGAAGACGGCGGCGGAGATGGGGGAGGAGGAGAGGGCGAGGTATGGGATTACGGAGAGGCTGCCATTGAATTGGGAAGAGGCATGGGAGGCGTTTAGAAGTGATGCGGTGCTTGGGGAGGCGTTTGGGGAGGCGTTCGTTACGGGGTATTTGAGTGTTAATAAGGTGCGGTTTCTGCGTTGATTTTTGTGCTCAAGAGGACTGATTGTTGTGGGCCGTTTCTGTTGGATAGACGTTGAAGGAGAAGATGAGTGATGGGCTTGATGAGGAGGCGGCTTTGAAGCTTCTTGTTGAGAATTACTGATACTACTTTATGGAATAGATTCTAGGTGAATACGGGAATTAGTAACTGTTAGAAGAGACACCTCGTGACCTTCCTTGTTTACGCGTACGTTTCGTTTGCACACTCCGATCACTCTTTCCTTTTTATCCCTCCTACATATACTTCCGTTATTTGCTAGTCTTTATTCCAAGCCACCCGTTTTTAGTATATAAACCGCAAACCTTATTTTTCCCACCTCAGTCGTCATCACAACTGTGTCTGACTCTGAGGTGAGGTTTTTTACTTATACTTATTTCTCTCGACACTCACACTACCTGTATTACAGTTCTGTACGTTAACAGGTAGTTTGCCCAATCATAGTCGTCATCACAACTGTGTCTGACTCTGAGTTCTGTACGTTAACAGGTTATGGGCCCCGCTGCGCTCTGACAAAAAGAACTATAGACACCTACCTGCTTTATCACACTACTTGCGACTCGTAAAGCCCACTTCCCAGAAACTACACTTCCCCAAAAATGTCGTCTGCAAACAGCAACCCGCCTATTTTCCCCGAGGCAGAAAAATTTGACGGTACCAATTTTGGCACATTCGAAACACTTATTACCATCGCGGCTAGCAGCCGAGGCGTACTGGGGTATTTACAAGGAACTATCACCAACCCTGCTCCTTATCCAAACCCCACGACCTTAAACTACACCCCTACGTTACCAAATGTCCCGCTCCCGGATGATCCCACTCCATGGTACTCCACTACACCCTCAGGTGCAGAGTGGGCCATGCGCGACGCCTGGGCACGTGCATTGCTCCTCTACAACACTAAAAATGCTGTCGGGCTGGGACTCAAGCTCGATGGTACAGCTGCAGAAGCTTGGAACTCACTCACCTCCCAATACAAAGTCTCTTCCGACCTCGCCATGATCACCGCTCAACGTGACCTCCGAAATATCACTTTCACCGACGGGAATGACTTCCCTACCCATATTTCCAACCTGCGTACCAAATGGGTAACGGCGAACAATGCCGGCGCGAAGATAAATGATGCGGATTTCCGTATGGTCATCCTGTCCTCGCTCCCTGCATCCTGGGATAGTGTTGTAGGCACGCTTTATGAAGCGAAGTCCTCAGCGGACGTGATCAGTCGTCTGACGATTCACTGGAACCGAATTGACCGCTCCAAGTCCGTCGCAAACCCAGCTACAACTGTCACAGCACTCCAAGCAGACACGAGGAAGCCACGAAGTCAGTTACTGTGCGCCAACCAGAATTGCGGACGACGGGGACATACCATAGCAAATTGCTACTGGCGCGGCGGAGGAAAAGAGGGTCAATTTCCTCCGGGTTTTGGACAGCGCGGTGGTGCGCGCGGTTCAACGCCCAACAACGCCACTCCAAATACCTCGTCGGTCACTGCAGCCCTCACAGACGCCACACCCACCTCTGAAATAACCCTCGCTCTCGTCTCGGACATGGGCCATCGCAATTATCTGTTGACTGAAGATGTGAAGGTCGTCTCAACTGTTGGAGACGAGGTTGTAGACATCCACGCACCTGGGGAGGACCTCCTCGCGTCGAGGGACTGCGTCCTGGACTCATACCCCCATGGTGCCTGGGGATGCACACATGCGTTAGCCGCAACGACTAACCGAGGGGAACACAACGTACCCACTTACGCCGACTCTGCAGCAAACAAACATTGCTTCGTAAATCGGTCGGACTTCTCCACCTACCACGCCTTGTCCCAGCCCGACGAAGGACAATCTGCAAATAAAGGGGGTCAGTTTCGCATTGTAGGACACGGCGCCGTCACCAAAACCATAATCTCCGGATCACTGAGGACGACGCTCACATTTAAACATGCTGTACACACCCCCGACCTCATTGCGAATCTTGTCTCCATCAGCAAGTTGGATGAAGCCAACTGCTGGACACTCTTTGGAGGGGGAGGGGTCACCTTCTATGATATGCATGAAGGACAGAAGAGGACGCTCATGAAAGGTACAGGAAACAATGGAATGTACCTTCTCAATGTGGAACCGTTGACCCACGCCCTCACTGCGTGCTCTCTCAACAAACCCACCAGTCTTGATACATGGCACCGGCGCCTGGGACACGCTGGCGTCCATTCCATCACTGACATGGCTAGACGAGGCCTAGTTGACGGTCTTAACGTCTTGGGGGATGTGAAACTCGATGGGAAGTGCGAGGATTGCATCTACGGCAAGCAAACGGCGCGACCTTATGATGGGGCGGTCGAACCTGAGACGGAGGTGCTGGAGTGGGTATACGGAGACTTATGGGGACCTGCCCGTGTGCGCTCTGTTGGGGGAGCAGTATACATGTTCGTACTGAATGATGGCGGGTCCTCTTACCGTGTGGGATATTTCCTCACCTCCAAGTCTGGCGACGCGACACTTGATGCCTTCAGTGAATACCACACGAGGTCGGAACGTGAGACGGGGAAGAAGCTCATTCGCCTGAGGGTTGATATGGGGAGTGAGTTCTTCAACGAGAAGTGGAGGGAATATACCACGAGGCACGGAATCATCGTGGAATTTAGCGCACCATATGCCCACGGCCAAAATGGGGTGGCAGAACGTGGGATGAGAATCATCATCAAAGGTGTGCGCTGTGTCCTCGCTGATTCCGGACTTCCCCCCTCACTCTGGGCTGATGCCGCCGCCTACATCATATACACACGTAACCTCATTCCGTCCGCTCGCCATCCTAGACTTATTCCTGCTGAGAAGTGGACCAACAAACGACAGGACATATCCCACCTACGCCCATTTGGATGCATTGCGTACGCCAAGATACCGGCAGAGATAAGCATATCGAAGTTAGCGCCTCGATCAATCAAATATGCCTTGATTGGTTACTTCGGACGCGGAACCTATAAGCTATGGGATCGGGCATCAGGTACGACCATTAAGAGTCGTGATGTCATCTTCGAAGAAGGCCACGGACATCGTACTATTCCCGACGACGGCGACATGCCTCCTCTCGTTATTATTGACGACGAGGATGACTTCGACGATGACACCCCACCAACGACTACCTCCAGCGTAGACTCTACAGACCCTGGCGCTGTGGTTGTCCCAAGGAAACCTCTTGCCCCTCGTCCTCGGCCCACTGACCCACCTTTACATCCTAACGCCACAACGCCCACTGTACCAGCAGAGGCTACTCCCACGCCCACACCACTACCTGATGCCCCAACACCAACCGTACCTAGGCGCTCTGCACGTCTCGCTGATTTAGGAACTGGGGCACCCACAGACACGACCGCCCTCCACACGACACTCCCAGATTCCCAGGTACCGCGCAGCTACTGGGAAGCAATCACTAGGCCTGAGCTATGGAAGCCGGCAATGGACACAGAGTGGGGTGTTTTGAGGGAGAGGGGCGTATTTGAGCTGGTGGATGCTCCACCTGAGGCGCACATCATAGATTCAATGTGGGTATTCACGAACAAGTACGACGCTAACGGAAACATCATCAGACGCAAGGCCCGCCTAGTCGCAAAAGGATATACCCAGATCCCAGGCCTCGATTACGACCAGACGTACGCTTCCGTCGTTCGTCTGGAGTCCTTTCGCATTGTCGCCGCCATTGCAGCCTCACTCGACCTCCACATTTGGCAAGTGGACATCGTTGCCGCTTTTCTGTACAGCACAAACAAGTTCACCACTTATATGCGCCAGCCGCCCGGTTTTGTCGTCCCGGGGGAGGAGAGAAAGGTTCTACGGGTCGTCAAAACATTGTATGGTATGATGCAAGGAGGCTACGACTTCCAGGTCGAAATGTCAGGCGCGTATGAATCTCTGGGATATTACAAGTCACTCGCCGACCCATGCGTCCACTCCCGCACCATTGAAGGGGTACAGACCATTACCAGCACTTATACCGACGACATCTTTGGCGCGTCTTCAACCAAGGAAGGGGCGGAGAGGGCGAAGAAGGAGATTGAGGCCTGCTTCGAGATTAAGGATGTGGGGGACCTCGGTTACATCTTGGGGATCCATTTTGAGAAAGACGAGAACACCGGTGCGATCTCACTATCTCAGGAAGCTTACATTCGACGCATACTAGAGCGTTTCGGCATGCTTCACTGCAACGCCAAACCCACCCCACTTCCTTCCGGCATCACATTATCCGAATCCGACTGCCCCAAAACAGATGAAGACCGTCATTACATGAAGGACAAACCATATCGCGAAGCTCTCGGCTCCTGCATGTGGGCTCAAGTAGCCACGCGCCCTGACATCGCCTATGCCCTCAGCGTACTCGCGCGCTTCCAGGGAAATCCTGGTCCAGCACACTGGAAGGCGATGCTCCATCTCCTCGCCTATCTCAAGGGGACGATCGGCTACAAAATCACTTACAACCGGGGAGGCAGCCTTGACCCCATCGGCTTCGTCGACGCAGACTACGCAGGAGACGTTGACACGCGTCGATCCACATCGGGATACGTATTCACAATAGCTGGTGGACCCGTATCTTGGAGCGCGAAGCGACAAGCTACAGTTGCCCTCTCCACCACCGAGGCAGAGTACATGGCGCTCACACACGCCGCACAACAGGCACTGTGGATGTATTCCTTCATGTCAGAGATCGGTCTCGCTCGAAAATTCCCTGCCATCCTTCACGGTGACAACGCCGCTTCCATCGCCCTCACCCTCAATACCAAAGGACACGCACGTGCAAAACACATTGACATACGGCACCACTACATCAGGGAACGAGTAGCGGAAGGAGAAATTGGGCTCGTACAGATCCCATCCGAGGAAAACCTCGCCGACATCTTCACAAAACCACTCCCTCGCATCACCCATCAAAAGCTCGTTCGAGCACTCAAGCTGGACTCTTGAAGGTCCCTCGTTGTCTGGGGGAGTGTTAGAAGAGACACCTCGTGACCTTCCTTGTTTACGCGTACGTTTCGTTTGCACACTCCGATCACTCTTTCCTTTTTATCCCTCCTACATATACTTCCGTTATTTGCTAGTCTTTATTCCAAGCCACCCGTTTTTAGTATATAAACCGCAAACCTTATTTTTCCCACCTCAGTCGTCATCACAACTGTGTCTGACTCTGAGGTGAGGTTTTTTACTTATACTTATTTCTCTCGACACTCACACTACCTGTATTACAGTTCTGTACGTTAACAGGTAGTTTGCCCAATCATAGTCGTCATCACAACTGTGTCTGACTCTGAGTTCTGTACGTTAACAGTAACCTCCGTACGTCTCCCGTACCTTCAATCTCGTCTCACCACTAACCAAGACCCTCTCACGAAATCCCAGAAGAAACAAACCAACCACCACGATCCTACGGCCTTCTTTTATCTTGACCTTGTATAATATGAATGTAACAAGTACAGGCTTGGACTTCCATAGAAAAACATGTCATATGGCAGTACCAATCAAGTACCAATGAGACAATCTGCCGGACTGGAAATTTCATTCATATGTCTTCATCTTCGTCCCAACCAGGTCTGTCAAACCTGGTGGACCGCTCATATGTCCAGATGTCCTTTCCTATTTGCTGTTCCACCTTCATGCGCAACACGCATCCCATAGCTCCCGATTCGTCCTGATCTCGCTTTGCCTTCCTCCAGTACTCGTCTGCCTGGCCATGTTGCTTCAAACGACAATCAGCTAGGTCAATCAAGACAACGAGTCAGGATATGGTTCGGGCTCGGCTTCCCCAGCATTCAATGCCGACTCCCGTACGAGGACATTGTTTATGCAAACGTCGGGATTGAGGACGTCAAAATGGGAAACTCCGTCAATGAGCTCGACAGTCGTATCCGCGACTCGCTTCAAAAGGTCGATAGGCAGGGGAGGCACGCGACTTGTCCATGTGCTCACGAAATTGCGAAGGGATATGGATGGAATATATTCCAACAGGAGCCCTTTGACTATTGTGCCGTCTAGTCGTGAAAGGGAGACAGAGCAGTAGAGCTTGGGCAACCAGGTCCCTTGCCCTTCTTTTAACCTTTCGTAGGTCTGTTTCTCCTGTTTGTAAAACAATTGGCATCATTCTTGGAGATAAGCCTCGAACTCTCCATCGCTCATGTCTTCTTCGCCGTGGAAAGATTTACGGGGACTCTCCTGCCGATACTGCCGATAAGCGAGCTCTTTGGTCTCAGACCAGGGTTGGTTGTTGTCCATCTCCTCTCGGAAGTTGACCATGCAGCGATAGTCGTATAGTTTCAGGACAGCTTCGCTTGCGCCCACGGAGGCGGGATCGAGTAGGGAAACCCTAACGACCGGAGACATCGTGAAAGGGTAAAAGGCATGGGTAACTTTTGCGGATACAATGAATGTTCTGCCAGTGTTATTGAGTGATTCAGCGGAGAGGTTGAGCTGCGTTCCTGGTGAGGTATAAGCTTGGATTGCCAGATGATGATGTTCTTCCATCACTGGACTCGATGGGTCTCGTCCTGCTGGAGATGCTTCTACGCCTGGTGAGGGCCGAATTGCGTCTCTGATAGACATTAGCAGGCACAAAGCCAGCAATGGCTGTGTCGAACAAAACTGGTGAAAAAGGGGTCATCATAGGCTCAAGCAGGTTACACCTGCGCACATAGGACGCAATGTGCATGAGTGCCAAGGATTTTACTTTTTTTGATCTTAACCTTGTACATATAACATGCAATTATACAGTACCTGGACTTACATAGCATAGAAATACATGTCATATAAAAGAGTACCAATAACGACTAAAACAATATGTTAGTATGCATTGTGTCCAAAATCGTTGCAAACGATGTCCTCCAAAAAAGTCTGTCTGGGGAATTTAACGTTCAAACGTCCAAGTGAATCGAAGTTCAATCCCACCAGAAAGTTGTTCACCCCGCTATCTTGCCAAATATATCCAAAGCTCTCCTCAGCCCACCATGCATCCGCTTCTTCACCATCCTTCGTGAATTCCCCGTCGTCGTCGTCGTCGCTGACCCAGCCATCGTCGTCGTCCCACCCGAGCCAGAAGAACTAGCAGCCAACGGATTCCGACAAACTTCCGCATACACGCAGTCCCTCCACGCCGCATACATCAACACCACAAAATTCTGCCCCTCCGGACTACCAGACGTATACGGCGTTGTATCGTGCCAGTTTAGTGGGTTCACTGCTGGCGTTGCGATCCCCGTTTTTGTGATGTGTGGGTTGCCGGAGGAGTCGTAGGCGCCTAGGACGGCGCGGATGTTGTCTGCCCATGATATGTAACTGGAAACGGAGGAGGAAGAGGTAGAATTGGAGGAGTTGGAGGAGGAAGAAAAAACGTCGGGACGGAGAACAGCCATTCGATACGCTACGCTCGCCAACAGCGTACTCCCCGAAATCTCAGGAAACCCCTGTCCATCACCACTCGTATCATTCAAATAATTCCTCAACAACCCAAAACTCATGGGCGAGCTCATCGCGCCGTCTAATATCTCCTTGATGTACCCCGTCAACCCCACCACCGCATCCGCCTGCGCACTGCCATTAAGCTGTTGCGCGAACGGGGATTTGATAAACGTAGCGAGGACGCGCGTCATCCCAGCTGCGGCCCACCCATTCCCCGTCGACCAGAGTCCTGTGTCTTGGTTTTGGGGACCCATGATGTGCATCCACGCTCCGCCGCTCGAGGGTTGGAGGACTTGTCGGTAGAGTTGGCATTGGGTGAATGATTGGAGGAGGATTGACGCGTTTTGAGTGTCTGCGCCGTAGTATGCCAGGAACGGTGGGACCATGTACACAAAGTCTGCCCTGGGCGCAAGGACGTCAGTATCCAGTAACGATGGAGATGGAGAAGGTACCAAAGCTCAGCAACGTCCGGACGATGCGATATCGCGCCATTCGACCATCGTGGGATCTGAGTGAGCAGCGCATCCACCGTTTCCTTTGCAGCAGCCATATACTCCCCATCCAACTTACCCAACATCACCGCACTCACCCCCAAACTCGACGGATCACCCGCAGCACCACTACCTGCACTCAACGCCGCATACCCCGTCCCGAAATCCACCTTTGACGATGCGTAGTTCAAAGCGATGACCCTCGCTGCTGGTAGTGCTGGTATCGGGAACGGGGTCGAGCCAAAGACGGAGAATTGGGGCGTGAAGAGTTCGAGTTGGGCTTCGGCGGATGTGCCGTATTCCCAGGAGTACCGGGGGAGGGATTGGGCGAGGGAGACGACGTTTTTTATGGAGAAGCCTGGGTTGTAGGGGAGTGGGTTGTAGGTTGTTAGAGTTGCGGAGAGGAGGGCGATGGTGTTGAGGATGGTGTTGTTCCCCGCCATTGCAAGACGGTGAGGCCAACGTCGAGTAGCATAGTCGTGTACAAAATTCAACGCGTCACGCGTCATGCATTCATGCCTTCAAGTTCACACCACTCTAAACGTCCTCCAACAACTTGGACGCGTATTGTTGTTATTCACCTCACTTCCTTCCACTTACTACAACGACAATGAAAGGACCTGCTACAAAAACCTCAAGATCGCAAGTCAGGCGATGTGGATTGTCCAGGGCAATGACGAGGATGGGTGTGAGGTAAGCTCTATTTCCGATACCACGTTCAAGGAAATAACGGTCGATTCAACAAGTTTGACTTTTTATCCAACAGTTCGTCTTATTTCTACATACAAACAAGGTTTTTCACCAGCGTACAGGTCGTTCACTACGTACACCGATGCCCACTACATTCGACGGATGCTCACCACAGTTAACGACGTCGCATCGGACAGGCCAAGGGAGGTGGTGACGACGGTTTAGCGAGGGATGGAAATGGAGGGCGGAGAGGATGAATGGAGGAAACGTCGATAGCAGCTGTTTGGACATTGGGTAAACATTGTTGCCGCCCACGTACCTTTCCATACCATTCACGACGATCTCCTAGACTGCAAGAAACGATCTCTACGCCAATGACATGACCTAGCAAAACGTCTTCCCATCCAATACGACGTCCGAAAGAGCACCACTTCGCGGTTTACACGGCGTAAAGGACGGAGAGGCGCTGAAGTCGCTAGCTACGCTGATACCGACGACATTCGACGACATCGTGCTGGTCAAACGGGGGGGGGGGTGGTGATGACGGTTTAGCGAGCGCCGAGCGAAGGCAGGTGATGGTGATGAAATGGATTTGAGAGGATGACCGCTGACTAGCGAAGGATGGATGTCACCGACAAGAGCTGTTGCGAGCTTGGGTAAGTCATCTACAAATCCATAGACACTGTTACCGCTCACGTACCTTTCCAAACAAGTGAACGCTGCCTTCACCTGGAGTCAGCCAATGTTTTATCACGGTTGCAGTGTACACCTTATCTCTCAAAGAGCGTATGGCCTTCTCGAGGTTGTTCGTCATTGGCGGAATCCGTGACTATCCCGATTCGAAGATACGAATGGTCCTTCTTCGTCTGATCTACAACCACGTTCCAGTCAAACTAGGGCGGGCCGACTTCGAACCTCCCCACTCCAAGACGCTTGCTCCTTCAAGCTCACATTTTGCGGTTGCAATTGCATCTGGCGGCACTCAAAGCTTTGTCGATCAATGTTGACGCGATGTCGCCTAGCGCTTGGCTAAGCGCTTTACGTGTCACCACTACCCCCCAGACCGCATGAAACTCTACGCTGACAAAGAAACTCAGAGAAACGACTTACGTTCGTGATTGGATGTCCGAAACCACAGGCTGGAAGGCGAGCACTCCTAGTTTAGGATGGCGACGCGTTGCGAAATTGTGGGGGGTTGGCAGTGGAAAGGGCGTGATGATGGGTTGGAAGGGGATGGGCGGCAGAACGGGAAGTTCTGCTCTCGCTTTGTGTGAGTGATCTACAGCTCCATTCCACTATTGAGACTCACGTACCTTTTGTAGAACCGCTTCAACGCCAGGCTTCGGTTTCAATGCGGGTAAGTCAGGGCAGCAATCGTTCATGGCCAGAACTTCCCCAACCTTTTGGCTCCACTGTCACACGTTCTTCCCGGCCTATTCGACCACTTCTCGCTGGTGGTCTTAAGTGGCGCGGACGAAAGTTGACGAGGAAGTCGACATGCTGTGTCCTCTTTGACATCACGCCAGTCATTCGTAACTGGGCCTTATCATAACCGACTTACCTCCTCATGTAGAACTCGCATGAACGGTTGATGCTATCACTTCGACCGTGGGTAAGTTGATAAACTGAGAATCGATATAGGATCTGACGTACCTTCAGCCCTAGCACCTTCCTGAACGGTGGCGGGCAAGGTATTGACATCGGGCACTTACTGTGGCAAGGTATGCAACTGTTATAAAAAGAGAAATGTGAAACTGATGTACTTTTGGTGTGGAAGCATACAATGACGAATAACCCACTCCCCCTACAAGAAACATCATGTACACTAACTGGGAAAAAAGAATGTCTGGTCATTTTTTGGACAAAGTTGGTGCTGTAACACAAGAACCAAACATTTTCAGAACTAAGCTCTGGTGTATGAGACATAGCTAAGGAGGTGTAGATTGTACATACCAAGTCTGGGGATGAATGAATGAAAACTCAGGATAAGGCAGAGCATTCACTGTGACAACTTCCAAAAATGGGATTTGACAAAATGGGAAATTCTGAATGACTGCAACCTACTGGAAGCAATTCACAATTTGAAGCAGAAATATTTTAAACACTCAATCTCCCTGCTATTGTCATAAGCCCCATAAAGTCTCTGAGATATAAAATTCTATAGTCTCCCCAAAAAAGTGAATTTGAATTGATTCCCCTCCTTGGACATTTGCAGTTGCAAATATTGCCCAGGATTGATAGGAGAAGGTATCTATTGTCATAGTATTGTACATATACATAACTACTACTGTTCCATGATTTGATTTGACCACATTGCCAGGAATAAAGCATTTAATGGCTAATAAAACTTCAAGAAACTGTGAAAATTAAGAGACATATAGTCAATATGGTTCCCAGAAACCCTGCTTCCAAGGGGTTACAGTTAATATGGGTGTTTTGAAATGTCCATGCCAAGTGCTTCTACCTATCTTTTGAGTTTTGGGCACAGATGCTTCTCAAATGGCCCACAAAGCTCACTGAAGCATGACAGAGAGATTTCCAAATCAGGCCTAGAAAGGTCTGGGGGTCTCAGATCCTTGTATGAATAGGACCTCTGTTTATTTCCTTGGGATAGTGTTCCTAGATATGAGAAGTGCCTTGTGAAATATTTTCAGCCCCAATTCACCAAGAAAAATGTCAAGGATTGGTCCAGGACGATTGCTCTATGCAAAATGTACTTTTCTTGGAGACTATTCAAGTTATACCCAGTGTAAATTTATTTGCTATCATATTATACTTCAGGTGTTGTTTAAAGGACATCCTTAGTCTCCATGGATTAACTCAAAAGGGTGGTAGCATTTTTTCTTCATGCAGAAAAGAAGGACCGATGTTGTAGAAACTTGTTTACTTTCAGAAAAACTCTGGAAATTAACTTCTACAGACATCATACAATGGTCATTTTAACATTTCTACCTACCTTTTGTATTATACACACTACAAACATTAATAGGGAGTCATTTTTCCTCATTCCAACAAATATATTGAGTGAAAAATACATAAAGTGGAGAACAAGTTCAAATTTACCTTTTAGGGGAGGATATAAATTTTCTAGCCCAAAGACTTTATGAAGCTCATAACAATAGCAGGGAGATTCAGTGTTCAAAATATCTCTTCCTCAAGTTGTGAATTGCTTTCAGTAGGTTGCAGTCATTCAGAATTTCCCATTTTGTCAAATCCCATTTTTGGAAGTTGTCACAGTGAATGCTCTGCCTTATCCTGAGTTTTCATTCATTCATCCCCAGACTTGGTATGTACAATCTACACCTCCTTAGCTATGTCTCATACACCAGAGCTTAGTTCTGAAAATGTTTGGTTCTTGTGTTACAGCACCAACTTTGTCCAAAAAATGACCAGACATTCTTTTTTCCCAGTTAGTGTAAATCATCTTTGGTGATGTGCGGGCTACACGACGACACTGACCTGGTATTCAGAACATCCAATAGAGTCCTGAAACGACGTGCGAGCGTATCAGCAAAGCGAGGAGGTGAAGTAGATAGGGGACTCACTGTGGGCGGCATCACGGACGACTCCAACGACTGCGGAGGACAATCAGCAAACAAAAAACACATTGTGAACGAAAGGGCTTACCGATCGGGGGCGATGATGACGATGAGCAAGCAAGATAGAGTGAAAGGTGTCGCCATCGAGAGGGAAAGGAGGAGAGGGTAGTAAGGTAAGCGGAGGAATGGAATCCTATCGAATACAAAGCTAACCCAGTCCTTTTATACATTCAGGAAGATAACCGAGAGTACGTACATACACATGACCCTTGTAGCCGGACTGGTTACACACATCAACAAAATTTATTCCAGGGTCCGGTGAAGATTACAGGGTTCACAAATTCAGGAAATCGACGCAGAGGAATGGTCCTCATTGGGTGACTTCCCGTAACATACTGTCATGTGACCCCTAACGGGTCATCAGCACTAACGGGTCAACAAGCTATAGCACCACAACGATCCATGCTATGCATTTGAAATTTTGAACAGACTTTGACAATGTACATGTGGCCGTGTGTGGAGATTTATTGGATAGAACATTGAGCATGAGCTGAGATATAAGGGAGATAAGATGGTCATATTGTTGTTTTGCCAAGTTTGCCCATCAAAGGAAGTCTATCTAATTGATGACCATTTCTCTCCACAGTGCTACCTCTATTGACACAAATATTTTTGAAAGTTTACAGTGGAGGTATTGGTAACTCGCACACAAAAATTTAAATCAGATAAGGAGAATATGAGGTGTCTAAGAATATTTTACAGTTGGCTTATGGGTGTTGACCAATTCAGGGCAAACAGGTCAAGGCATTTTAACACTACCCAAAAGCATCCCTCCAGAATAAAACTTACAGATACAATATGTATATGTTTCCTCCTACTCACTCGCAAAATTTTATGTGCTCCCAATGAGAGGGAGGCATGCAATCTGCAATTTAAGCTAAAGTGACCCAGTAATGGTCACATGACAGTAAATTCGCTAGATTTAAATAAATCAATGAGATCTAGGGTCTTTTGCCAGGATGCCAAGTCTTGTAAGGGTTCGACTTTGGTGGAGGCCCTGGTTGACACCCAGTTATAAACCTTAATCTATTCAGAGGGTACAGACCCCTCGAATAGATTTCAAACACTGGAATCAACCCTGTTATCATGACACCTTTCCTTCCTGGGTATGTTTTCTTCCCACCTAGCTTAGTCAGCTCTACCTCATCCTCTCTACTCTCCTACGGCTGAGGGCAGTCTGCTCTCTCGTTATAATTTGAAGCCATTACAGAATTTATTAGTAGTGCCAATGTCCTCTGGTTCCAAAATTTCCTCTGCGAAGCTGTTTTTCCTTCCACAAACAATCTTCTCAGCACATAACTCACAGAACCACAGCATGTTCAGCTCAAGTTGACATTTTCTCGGCTTCATTCATTGTGTGTCCTACTTTCTGGCTGATGTGATTGAGCATTAACTATAATACACCCATCCATGGGCCTGTGTGTCCTCAAAACAGCTCAGATGAGAGGGAAGTAAGTTTATTCATGTCTGGTGAATAAATCTAATCAGTTGGCATTACAGTTTATTTGCTTGATTAAATCACAAGCCAGGGTACCCATTTCAAACTCCGATAAGGGTCAGATTTATTTGTTTATATAGATTTATGTTACAGGAAGTCACCCATTGTTTCTGGCGTGTATCGTAATTCCAGAGCTAAACCCCCTGTACACTGACTGCTTTTTCTGTAGATACATCCAGTGTTGTCATTGACCCAGGTCTGACCAGGTCAGTCAAAGGGTCAGTCAAAAAAGGGGGGTCAAGTCAAGATTCTTGAATGACCTGGGTCAAGAGTTTTCGTGGGATAAAGGAAAGCGCGGGCTGAGAGGGTGCCTCATATTTACACTTGCAGAGATTTGTTAGACTCAAGGTAGACTCAGTTTTGAAGTACAAGAAATGTCTTCAGTATAAAGTAGCTACCTCAAATTCAATAGAATACTTACCAACCATTTTTCTGATTTTGCAGTTGAAGCTTCAGGAGATACTAAAAAAGGTCAGCATGAGCTATCTTGCAAGTGTGCCGTCGTTGATTGACTCAGGCTGGCACTCTTCCCTTCTGCAAGCTTCACGATCCGCTGCTTGCTTAGCTCAGATGTACATGCTGACACGATATTTTTTAGCATGTGTGTGTTTGTTCTGGAAATTTATGTCAGAGTGGTTCCACAGATGCGACTTTGAGGGCATGACAGCTTACAGATTTCAGCACTTCAGCACTCATGCCCTCCCACTTTGAGCTAGCGTATTTGGTACCCCTTCCGTGTCCAATGTCATTATTGCTATGCTTGTCTTGACGCTTGTACTAGGTACTACGTTGTCCTGAATTACATTATGTCATCATGGTCAACGTGATTTCTGCGTGACATTGACCCCTTGACCTCTTTTGACTGACCCTTTGACTTGACCTTTTTCTTGACAGGGTCAAACAGGTCAAGACAACACTGGATACATCAAGTATGTAATTTGTTGTCAAATTTAATTCTGTCAATGGAGGTCTAAACAAAGTCCATAAATATCCACAGTTTCCTCCCCTCGCTTACTTGTGTATGGCGAAGTTGGAAGATATTTCAAACCAGGGCTACAAGGGGCTACGCACAAGCCCTAAGCGGAGCTGTCATCATACATGTGGAATAAACAGAATCCAATGGAGAGGAAAGAGACACAAATTCTGTGCACTTAGATCCCTGTTACCTATCTTCCAGCACCAGACAATCCAGAAGGCCTAAAAGAGACAGATTGGATACAGGTAACTAAGTAAGACCCCAATGTGCGTACCTGTCAGTTTCAAGGGGAAATTTCAAGCACAGTATGTTGTGTCTGTGAGGGTGGGGAGGAGGAGAAGGACTTGGCTAGAGTGGTAGCTCAAACTTCTCAACCAGATGCTTACAACCGAAATTTCTATCAAACTCACTACAAGGGTACATTAAAAAATGGGCAAGATTGTGCAACTGGAGTACAAAGAGGGTGAAATCGCAGAATGGTGCAAAGATATGCAGATCCCCACTAACGAACTTCTGGCAATGGAAGTTCTGGAATTCTAGGCACAAAATATTCTGAATATCATTTGAACAGGACCCTGACACATAATACTGTCAGTTTGAAGGGGAAAATTTCCAAGTGCAACAATTACAGTGCAGATGATGGGGAGGAGGAGGGGAGACAAAAACAGGTATTACTAGACTTCAGTGCACAAATGAACTCTGTTCAAGAGCTGGTTCGCTTTATTACCAATGGGAATATACGTAGACTACTAAAAATTGCTGTTCAAATGAGTGGAATATGCGAAATGCAAGGCCTTAGCAGCATTGCACGCACTTTCCTGCTGACAATCTTCTAGCACAAAAAGCTCTAGAAATTCAGGCACTTTGATACCAGATAATATATCCAAATAGGACCCTGATATGAAAATTGATCTGTTCCAAGGAGAAGTTCTAAGCACAGCAATGTATTCCTGAATGGATGATGGGGAGGAGGAGGAGTAGATAGGGAATGTCATGGGTTTAAAAACCCATACGGGTTGAAGTCGCAGGTGGGTACAGGTTGGCATTTTCATACCCCAACAAAACCTGTACCTGTGACATGGGTGTGATGGGTGTGACATGTCAATCATGAACACATCACCTTCACCATGACACTCAACCACCACCACCATACCCTCCAGCATGGTTACCAGACAGCGTGGCATGGCAACAACAATGCAAAAGACTCGGATATGTCGGTCAGTAGTAGTGACACACAGACCACAGCAACCACAACAACGATGAGTCAAACACGATGGAATATGGGGGGGATAGACACAAACAGAGGGCGGGCTTACAAGGTGCGCCTGTGAAGTTCTCTTTTCTTTTTGTTTCCTGACTATTACAACAGCACCACGACAACGGCACCTGCCAATGGACCCCACCTCACAGATCAACGCCAACACAGTCACATGCAGTTGCTCACCACCACACAACACAATGCTGTCAAAACACTGGCACATGCCCTGTGCCCCAGTTACCATTTCCTGACTTTCCAATCCTCGCAGGGTTGCATGGCAGTATTGATTGACACTTGCCCTGCCTTTGCGAGGTTCATTGGTCATTTCTGAAGGGATACCCACACATGGGTTGGGAACCCCCGGGTTTTTGTAAACCCTTGACCTGTACCTGTGAAAACCCACACCCATGGATGCAGGTATGGGTTTTGATGGGTACGGGTGCAGGTTACTCTGGAAAACCCCAGGGTAGCCCATGACATTCCCTAGGAGTAGACCACGGCAGGTATTCTACACACCAACAATTTTCTGTGGCTTCAACTATTAGACTTTTACATTGGCATAACATATGCCTATTCTAATACATATACTTTAAATGAGTGGGATAGCTTGGTGTCTGAATTTATCGACAATGCTCACCAAGCGCATGTTCCCACTAAAAATCTTCTTACACACCAAAAGTTTGGAGAATCCAGGCACCTGAAGGATATAAGATGAGCTATCCAAATAAGACCATGATATGTAACTTTATTTGTTTCAAGGAGAACTTCCAAGTGCAATGTATTCTGGGGTGGTGATTGGAGGAGGATGCCGAGGACACTTTGGTAAGTGTACTTTGATTTTTGTCTGCCAATAATTCTTGGTGCATTACTTGTTGGCTATGATACAAGATGGAAAGGATATCCTTTCCAAATCAATTGTTAGTGAGGAAGCGCAGCAGACAGAATAGTTTTTGCACACCTGCACACACTGCACATTGTTGTGTAGAATATTATAGCACCAGAACTTGCAGAAATTCAGAGACAATAATAAAGGGTCTATAATTCAGAATAGAACCTTAACATTCACAATATTTAGTTTTGAGGAGAACTTTCAAGCACAACCAGACATTTTATAGAGAAAATGGTGCACATTGGCTCCATGGACCAGGTAATCTTCTAAAAATCTCTGTGCAGATGTGCTGGTCACTCAAACAACAGCTACTATGTATGTAAATCTATTCTTCAACGTTTGGAGTCATCAATATGTTGAAATTGAAGAGTGGAGGCAGAAGTCAATTGTTTTGAAGTGGATTTTCATAATTTCATTCATTCAATAGATAGATTTCAGAGATAAGATAATGGAACATGATTCAGATGATCTCCTTGCTTGCAACCATCATCATTCACCCTCCCTTCCCACTCCTTGAGAGTTTACAAGAGAAGGAATTCCTGCATAGAGTTGCAAGGATAGCTGCCAAAATAGCCTGTGAGAACATATTTACTTACATGACTTTTTCTAGATGGAGTTGGTACACCATGTGGTTAGTGTTTACAGGTCCGGTCCATAGGACCGAAAAAAACCGGTGGACCGGACTGAACCGGACCATGGACCGGTCTTTTTTTCGGTTGCAGTTGCCCCAATTTGGGGTTGGTCCGGTTGCTGGTTGCCTCATTTCAAAAATCTTATAAAACCGTTCAAAGACCAGTTTAAATCGGTTGCAACCGGTTAAACGGTTACATGCGTTACATACCCTTGTAACCACGTTTATTACCTTTAATTGGGTTTTTGTTTCATCAATAATGGTTAAGAACTGAGAAAGATATAACCAAATTCATTTTGGCACAAATACTTGTTTGTGCAACTTGTACCAGAATGACTTTAATTCTAACTCACTCAAACTTTCATTATTTTGCTTGATTCAATTTTTGGATATTGACATTTTAAGTATGAAAATATACTCACCATCTATCAATATATAGTATGCATCAAATAATTTACAGTTGCCACATTACATTTTGCCCAAGTCTTTATGAGATGTAATTCGGTTTCAGTCATAACTATGTCAAGTGTTCATTAATATTCTTAAGAATTGGTAGAATAATGGGTATTTATATGTTTTACTATGATATATAACCAGTTCATTTTTTAGAGCAATAATAATTGAGATATAAATGGTTTATATTGGTATAATAAATTTTACGCAAAAAGACCGGTCTGAATCAGTTTGAACATGGTCCATGGACCGCAAAAGACCGGTCCTAGGTGGTTCGGTTCGGTTCCCTCAATATCTGGGTCGGTCCTAGACAGGTTGCGGTCCACGGTTGCCTGTTTTCAGGGCAAAAAACCGGACTGAACCGGACCTGCGAACACTACACATGGTCATGCCTGTGTCAAGTCATCAACCGCAATTTTGTGCTCTTTCCAAGTGAAAACATGTAAGCAAGGTGTTGGAGTCGCACATTGCATCCTTGTGATGGGCTTCTGACACTGTGAGATTTCAGAATGTGTGAGAAGCTCCCCTGAAATTTTGACATACAAAGTGTGTTGGTGATCTGTTTCTTGTGTGATGATTGGACATGTATGTGGGTCTGGCAGCAGAAGTCTGAGGGTATTGCAAGCAGGTAGGTAAAGGTGGCTGTGAATTGATGATGAATTATGCACCTTATGCAGCCGCCTCTTCACACGCCACTCGACAACATATCATGAACCTCTAGCAACAGGACCCTGGCTATTTAAGAAATGGTGAGTAATCTTCAATTCAAGGAAACTGAAATTCACTTGTGCACCATTGGCAATGGGGGCTGTGATGGGGGTCTATAGAAATGGTGAAGGGAGGGAAGTCTAATAGATTGCAAGAAGGTAAGTATGCAAAAAAGGTTGTGTTCAGGTCAAGAATACTCATCTGGTGTAGAAGGGTAGGAGATGAGTGTGCTAGGTGGTAGACAAGAATATCAGAGGTGGGAGGAGAGCCGAGGGTGTGTGTGGCAACTTTGAAAATTTGGTGAGCGGTATCCCAAATCTCTGTGGAATCACCAGCATCACACACGTAATTGGGCCTTGCCAGCAATGCATTCCACCAATGTTCCACACAATGGTGTAATCTTCTATTCAAAATGTGTGTTCCTGGAAATTTTTCATTTGCTACCATCCTTTTGAATTGATCCATGGAGACTCAGGATGTCTTTTAAACAATGCCTAAAGTATAGCATGATAGCAAATTAATTTACACTGGGTATAACTTGAAAGGTCCTCAATAAAAGTACATTTTGCATAGAGCAAGAAAGGTGTGGGGTCTCAGATCCTTATATAAATAGGACCTCTGTTTATTTCTTTGGAATAGTGTTACTAGGCATGAGAAGTGCCCAATTCTTGACTTTGCTTAGAATAATATTTTTCTAAGTAGTTTACCAGAACTGTACTGGCTGCCTTGTCTGTCATCTTTTCTTTTTCATGTTTTAAGTATTCTGTAAGATACAAATTCCTAGTCTCTTCTGCAGAGAATTGATTGTCCACGGGTAAGGCATACAATAGGACTTTATATCCCCCTTCACTGTCTTCTTTGAAAGCTATCACTACTTCTCATTGATCTTTCTCAATCAAATCATCAAGGGTTGAAAAACTTTCTCTGTTTTCAGTTGAAGATCCTCTTCAGTGTGCATTTTCATCATTACTGGTGGTTTTCCTCTGTCAAAGGTGGGTAACATTGCCCTTCTGCCAGAGTTTGGATCTGTTATGGTCACTGTCTGTCTCCCGTCCATAGAGTTTATGACATGCTCCCTGTTAACACGTCAAAGGGCCTGCCCAATAGTACCTTATAGGCTGGGTCCTGTATTACATGCACTTGCAGGGAAATCATAATTCCTCCAAAGTTAAATGGAACATTTTTGGCAAGACAAGGGTCTTTTCCACAGTTCTTCGCACCTTGCATTTGAATGGTTATATCAGGATCCCAAGGGACTGCTAATTTCTTAGCAACATCCGCATCCATTGATACAATTTGTGAGCCACCATCCAACAAGCTCTCTACTTGACCAAACTTATTAATTACTGGATAAATCGATTTTAAAGCATGGGACTCTTTAGATACGAAAATCTCCTTTGGAGTTTATGATGAGCCATGCCTTGCAAGTATTGCTCAATAGGATCTGTCAGGACTATAGAAGCTTTCGGTATTACTCCATCATCCTCTGTTGTGCACATAAAAGTGGCATTGATGTCCAAGTCATTTATATTGATTTTTCCGAAATTAAAATTATCTTCTTGCTTTTTAATTGGAGGTGTGTCTTTATCAACCTCCTCAACTATAGTCACTTTTCGATTGTGAGCAGTCTGAATTGGCACCTTCTTTTTAGCTAAGGCCTTGAACAATTCTTGCCTTACTTCAGGAGAAATGCTCATAAGTACTTCTGCACTTAGAGTAACAGGTGCTTTACAGGCTGTTCAACACTTGTTCCTCATTTTTAACATTTTCTATTGGAGCTAAATGCTTGTATGCTATCGGGCGCTTCTCATAGAATGGCACTGGATCATACTCTTCAACCGATTCTTTCGTGTTACTATTTAAGTCTGGGATACTGAGATATGGTAATTGTTTGTGCCTTGGATTAGGATCCTCGACATCATCATCTCTTTCAAGTAATTTTTGATTATTTTTCAAAGTTTTCTTTGGTCCGTTGAGATTTTCTGGTTTCTTGAGAGGAGTTTCCTCTTCCTCTGATGCTTCGATAATCACAACTTTCCTACCCCTTTTCTTAGGTGTGTCTCCAGTGCCTTTTGTTCTCCAGCATTGGGTTTAGTTTTGCTGGGAGGCCCCTTCATCAGACTCTTTAGTTTCCTGACTGTCCCTGAGTCTCGGTTTGAGATCTATGGGTGATGGCAAACTGTGACGTGTCTACGTCCCTTGCTTTACTAGGGTTTGTAACGAGGATCACAAGCATGTCAGTAAGTTTTAACACTTGGTTATTCATGTTGAGAATCACATCATCTCTTGTATCATGCATTTGGTTTGTAAAAACGGAAATTTCATTTCCATTATTATTATCCAGTAGTCTGATTATACCTGGGACAATAGCTTCTTGACTAAAGACTTCCCCAGGCTCTGCAAACATATTATTTTGTAGAGTCGACTTTTGCCTAGTAGTTTCCTCAACGATTTGCCAAACAGATTTCTCACCATTCCCTCCAGGTACTGCAGTATTATTATGTGTAAAATACATTCGGTTCCCAAGAAGTTTGATTTTCTTCTGGGCCATGTGCACTTCTCTATGTGGACAATTCAAAGTAAAATGGCCTGGTACATCACAGTACCAACAACCATCTGAAGTCATTTTATAACTCACCACTTTGCTTTGTGGGTTACTGACATTTGGTTGTTGGTGAACTATTTCTATCTGTGTGTTTTGTACCATATTACCAGTACTTATCAGTCCCCCACTGATTCCTGCAGGACTACACTATAATTTTGGTAAATTTGAGTTAGAGTGAAAAATTTGGTCAAGTCCTCAGGATTCCTGAGGACTATCAATGATTCTTCATGTACTAAAAGCATACACTATTCTACACTTTTCAGCTTCAGCTATTTGTAATACACTATAGTACACTTCTTAAGCTATCTGCATATCATTTAGTCACTTTCTTCTTCCTCAGATTCTTCCTCTAGGCCCAAGTCATCATCTTTAGCCTCAGTGGCTTCTTTCTTTTGCTTCTTGATGTCTTGCCTGTTTATAACATATTTTGTGTGATAAAAAAGCATGGCATGTATGAACCAATTAAAGTTGCTTGGTGTCATACTTGTGTTAGAGGCCATTGCAAGCATGGCAGAAACAAGTCCTCTTTTGCAAAGGCAATAGAAACCAATTTCCTTTTGTCTGTTTCTCTGGGTACATTTTTATCACACACAAGTAAATTTTCCTATATAAGTCTTCTTCTGGATTGTAAACAAATTAAGCCAGCATCATCACCATTAATAAAAAGCATTTCTATCTTTTTCTTATTTTTGCTTATTTTCTGATTATATGCAGGTAGATTACCATATTTGGAAGTCTACCCTAGAGCCTGAAACTGTTACCCAACATCATTACTAACAATAAGCACCATCCTTCAATTCTCACTGATTTTCTTGACATTTTATGACTATTTTTTAATGGATTACCATATTTGGATGTCTGCTCTGTACCCTGAACACTTTAGCTAACTTATAATACAAAGTTTACTGATATACAATAAATGTGATACAGGATTGGAAGAGAATGCCCAGAAGCCATAGTCAAACAATGGTATATAGCTAGATTTGAATATCTTACATAATTAATTGATCTTTTGTCTTGTACCACCACCATCTTGTCAGCAGTACTGCCTTCCTCTTGCACTACATGTAGTGCTTTGTATATCTGTACTTCCTACAGTATGCATAATCATGTTGGGCGAGCTGAGTATCTTGTAACTGCTCATTGCTCACTTATGGGTGTTGATCTCAGATCCACCCATTCTTGCCTCCTCCTTCCCTCTTGGCTTCAGCTATGCAAGAAGTTCAGAGTGAAGGCTTCACAATAACAGACTGCAAATGTCAGATATAGACTACAAAGTTGGATTATCTCTACAACAGGAGCACTTTACAGTGTAGAGCTACAACTTCCATTTTTTGACTATTTTTGGTAACTGGTCATGTGACCATCATCCCATTACATGGGCCCTAATAGATAAAATTATTCTTTACTTGGTTTTCTCCAGTTTTTGGTCAAAGTGGATGATATTTTCTTTTTGGTATGGACTCTGAAGGTAGTGCCTGACATTCTATATACCATTCAAACTTTTTTTCAAATTTTCCACTATTTTCCAGCAATTTTTGGATCTATTACCATATTTGGAATTGTACCCTTGACCCTGACAACATTATCACAGGAATGGCCATCCACCATTTTCTTCTGATTTTTTGCCTATTTTCTGGCTATTTTTTGTTATGTTACCATATTTGGAACTAGACTCTGGACCCTGACAATGTTACCCAATGTTATCACTAGCAATAAGCACCATTCCCCATTTTTTTCCTATTCTTGACCATATTACTTTATTTGGAACTATAATTTCGACCCTGACAATGTTACTCAATGTTATCACTAGCAATAAGCACCATCCTCCATATTTTTCTGATTTTCTAGCTACTTTTGGATATATTACCATATTCAGAACTGGACCCTGGACCCTGACAACATTAACCAATGTTATCACTGCAATGGGCACCATCCCCCATTTTTTCTGATTTTCTAGCCATTTTCTGGCTATTTTTAGGTCTATATTACTTAATTTGGAACAAGACTCTGGACCCTGACAAGATTACCCAAGGGTATCACCACTATCCTCCATTTTTTTCTGATTTTCTGGCTATTTTTGGCTATATTACCATATTTGGAAATGTGCCCTGGACCCTGAAAACAACCTCCAACATCATTACCAACAGTAAGCACCACCCCCCAATTTTTTCTGATTTTCTGGTTTTTCTGCTATTTTATTGCTATTTTACATCTGAAAAAGTGCACATTTCCTTATTTAGAAATGTGCCCTGGACCCTGAAAGCCACCTCCGACATCACCACCAACAGTGAGCAACACCCTAAGCTCATCGTCGCAAGCAGCAAGCCCTTTACAGCTAATATAATGTGTATAGGCTGGATTTGTAAGCATCGGAAATCTCCGAAAATGACATACTTCCCTTGCGGGCTACCTTTGATTTTGAAGGTAGCCCACAAGGGAAGTACGTCATTTTCGGCTATTTCCAATACTTAGGAAAGTAACTTGATTAGTCATCATTTTTGCGAAAATGAAGATTTCTATGTAGCTCTACCAATTCTGGTCCAAATGACACAGTATTTTTTGCAGTATGCACTCCTTATTTCTAGGATTATTGTGAAATGAGAATAGCTATAGGTAAATACAGATAAATAATCTGAAATTAAATTTTGTAGCCTATCAGCAAACTTTGGTTTCTGTATGCTGAAGTTGAACCCACATGATATCACATGGTTTAAAACAAATACAAACAGTTTCATATACAACACACATATGTAACTTTCACATTCACAACATGTATCCTCACCATACAACCTTATCCAATCCACTGCAAATAGTGTTTATCAAGTTGCACCTGTATACGTGTCCTGTTAACTGTTGCCTTCATTGTAGCCTTGGCCAGTCCAAACCCAATGAACTAGAATGTGTATTCTTTAGAGAGAATATGTGTCCTGTTATTGACTGTTGGCCTCAGCATGGTCTTGGCTAGCCCAAACCTAATATGCATTCTCTTTGAAACTCAGAGAACTTGTAACAACACACTCAAAGCATTTGGACTGGCCAAGACGACGACAAGCGGATGGCAAAAGTAGAAGGGAGAGTCTTGCAGAAGAGGTCACAGGAAACGTGACAATTGAAA